TTTTGCTTTTTACTTCTCATAGGTTCAGAATCTATTGCATAACCAGTCCTATGTTAAATGTCTATCATATCTTAGAAGTTTAAGGCAATGACATGCATGCAGATTTTGAAATCTACTAAATTCACCACCAGTTTTAATCGTAGGGAAGATATTTTCAAAAAGTACAGCATCTCTATATTCACAAATTGACTAATCACTTAAGCACATGAGCCTATATGCACAACTATTCTGATCATAACCAAAGAAAATACAATCAAAGGTTTTAGATCCAACCGTAGGTTTTTTGAATGTTGGATATGTTATTTTTGCTAAACACCCCCACACTCTTAAGTAGATCCGGTTCGGTGAATATCATTTCTAGAGCTCGTATGGTGTCTTATCCAACTCTTTGTGGGAAACCCTATTAAGAATAAAATAGGGAGAAATCGTAGCTACCACCCACATACCATCAGATACACAATGACTTAATAGCATAATATTCATCATCTCTTTTAAAGTTATTTTTTTTCGTTTAGCTATTATGTTCTATTGAGGTGAACATGGAGTAGTAAATTCATGTATAATTCTATTTTATTCACAAAAAACTTTAAGTTAATTAGCACTATATTCACCACCCCATCTGATATTATCCTTTTTATATTTTTATTTAATTGGTTTTCTACTTCAGCTTTGAATTTATAAAATGTACTACTTGCTTCATTTTAACATTTTAGGAGATATATTTTCGTATATCTAAAAAAATCATCAACAAAAGAAATATAGTAACTTTTTTCCACCTTTGCTAGTTGTATTTTTTAAATCAGCTAAATCATAATGAATCAATTCTAGTAGCTCAGTACACCTTATGGTGACTGGTTTAAAAGGCTTTTTTGCAAACTTTACTTCTACACAAACAAAATGTTTTGCAGTTTTAGAAAATTCACAAGTCTGACTTAAATTTAAAGTTCTAAGCCTTTTAATAGATGCAACATTCACATGTCCCAATCTACCATGCCACACATCAAGAGACTTCAAGATATAAGTAGAACTATAAACAATTTCAATAGTACGAGAGGTGTTAAAAACAAACAGGTCATCTGCTAAATAACCTTATCAACAAAGTCACCATTTTTTGTGATGATAACCTTGTCCGCCTCAAACACAATCCTAAGTCCAGCCCAGTTCAGCGTACCTCCATACACCAAACTCCTACGCATGGAAGAAACATACAACACATTACTTAAGAATAAGGTTTTACCAAAGGTAAGTTTTGAGAGGATCTTCCCTTTCTAGAGTACTCTAGCTAGGGTTGAGTTTCCCATGAAAACACATTCGCTAGCAATAGAGTCCTACAATTTGTGGAAGAGATCATGATTCTAGCAGAAGGTCTGGACACTTTAGTGTCAAGGATCCAGTCGGACTTGTTCTTTACCAGATCTCTTTCCACGACCATGACAGCCATGAAGGGCTGAGCAGTGGCGGTGGTAGCAACGGTGGCGGGTTTAGCATCAGTGAGAATGTACTCAATCACTAACTACTCAAAGAAAATTAGTAGCTTTTGGGACCAACAGTGGTAATTGGACTCATCTAGGGGTTCCAATTTCGACAAGTCTAGCAAGACCTTTCCGGATCAGATAGTTGTCATGGATTTTCTTCCAAATTATAGGAAAGGGTAGGGTCGAATTTGGAATAATTGAGAAAAACATTGTTGTGTCGTGGACAGGACCACTGCCTACCAAGTAAAATCGGCATAACCTCTGTGATAAATTGTTGTATTGTCGAAACAATCCCCAAGGTTAACATAACATCTGACTCAATGTGCACTTGTCGGAACAGAGTGGAATCAATACCAGCTAAAAAATCCTTAGGAAATAAAAATTGAGTAGAGAAGAAGATAGAGAAAATGAGTCAGAGTTTGATTATTTGAAGGGAATAAGAATGTTGTATTTATAGGAAAGTAATTGCCAAAAATAGTTTAGTGATTCCTCCATAACTAAGGACCAAACACATGTCAACCAATTTCATTAATTAAGACATATTCCAAAAAATATATCTCCAAAAATAAACAAGCTCGAGCTTGATTGAATGAATGGTGGCAGTGTACATGTGTAATATGTTTTGGGCTAAAGGACTTTAGCATATAAATCATTTTCCCAAATAAAAAACATTCCATGTGGGATAAGGGATTTTACAAAACATTATTTTTCCTATTGTCATTCCTAACAAAACACACTTTTTTTTTTGCGGGGAAAATAGAATTTTTCAAAATTTTTGCTCTTTGAGACTTTTTTAAACGTCACAAAAAGTGATATAGAAATGAGTGATCATGGAGTGCACGGGGAAAGCCTACAAGAGAAGCAAGCTGAAATCAGTTCAAAGGAAGCTTATGCTCAAAGTCAACCCAATCATGAGCCAATCATTATGCCACAATGTAACGTCCCGAGTCCCTCAGGTAAGTTAGTCTCGAATAAGGAGATTTTTTTTTCTTTTTATTTTTTTTTCTCTTTCTCTCCTTCATTTAATTTTAAATTTATTGTTAATTAAAATTATTGATTGTTAATTAAATTTATCTTTACTATCGGGCTCTAAACTCCAATTTAAATTTATATTCGTCGGACTTCGTGTAGTGGGCCTTGTTTTAATGATGGAATGGACTATTTTCTCCTCTTGGACTTGGGTATGTTGGGCTTTTGGGTTGGGTTGATTTTAAAACAAAAAGAAAGAAAAACAAAAGGGGAAAACAAAATAAACC